CTCAACGAAGCGTTGTAAGTCCGATTTCTACTGCCAGATTAACGTCGCGACGGCGCCAGAGGTGGCGCACATTAGCGTATGCCACTCTGGCTTTTTATATGCAGTTGAGAATGTTATCAGTCACCAGCAACCACACTACCCCCGAGATACGCGAACTTTTCGGCCACTTCCAATCTTGCAAAAGTACTTTGCACTTCAATGGTGCAAAGCACATACCTTATACTTACGGACACTAATCGCCAACTGATTAAATGTGATTTGAGCAGCCTGTGTTATGGCGCAATAAGACGATATCTTCCGCATATCCAAGGTCGATTAGCCGTTCTCTGGGTAGTAGATCTACACCACCATTACGCACCTCGTTCAGAGCTGCCTCAAGAATGTTGTCGATGGCAAAGTTAAAAAGGAATAGAGAAATCGGGAAAACCTACCCCACCCCACTGCTGGTTTGGAACAATGGAGATAGGTGGTCGTATCCCCTTACTCTACTTGAGGTGCTTTATGTAGGGCTTCAAGATGCCAATAAATTTCTCAAGCATGCCCCTCCATAACAGACAATTCCAGAGTACAACTCTGTCCAACGAATAGAAACAGCCCTAATGTCACGAAGCACAACGATTTTTGGCCTGCAATACATGTCGCGATGTTCAAGCACTTGGCAGAGAGTAAACACATGACCAATTCATTCAGGACCTGAGCGAGACCCTGCCTGCTCCTCACTAATCATTTCCTCACATGTTTTTCAAAGTCTGCGAAGTATGATAGCAGCCAACATTTTCGACGGTACTGGTAGCAGAGATATACCCCGATGATTGTCACATATTACGTAGACCGTTTTTAAAGACAGGCACAACAATAGCTTCACTGCATAGCGATGGAACACTCTGTCTCCTATACCTTCCAAACAATCTAATCACTTCCCTGACTACAGTCGTTCCTCCATTCTAAATACGAGCCCGGGGTAAGTTACCCGGGCCGAGTGCCTTGTAGGGTTTCAAAACTTGGAGTTCCTTATGGATCCCCGCTTCGTTAGGTGGGTCAGTCTTAATCGACAATGGAGCACGATACACTGAAAGTGAGGATGCTAGAGTGGTGGGTTAGATAAACTGCCCTACGAAGTGCTCCACCTACAGTTCCAGAAGTCTTTGAAGATTGTTTATTGGCGTATCATCTACCCCACAGGCCGTCTCACTAACATCTAGCTTCTTGATCCCATTGGCTCAGATGAGCTGGAACAGCTTCCGACTATTGCCAAATGCAGCTACTATTTCCATCTCACTGGTGTGTTCTGACCACTAAGCTTCATGGTTCTGGCGTATGCGTTGTCTGATTATTCGTGAGAGAGACTTACGCGAACCATTGTACTCGCTGTCTGCTGGACTAGTTCAACAGGTGTCAAGAAGTTGCAGAGACCTAATGTTTATTAGCGAGACGTTCTTCCAAGCCGCAGGCAGCATTACTTGCCATTTTCATGGCTTCTAGCAAGTGCAGCCAATGCTCGTCTACACTTTCCAGAGGATCGGTAGCCAGCCTTAAATTTAGCTCGGATTTGAATTTAGCTGCAAAGTTAAATGCAACTAATTTGATTGCATTGACCTGTTTAAGACGACGACTTGATGACCGCCGAAATGCAAGACGAACTTGGCACACACTAAAGCATGATCAGAGTCCAGACAAGTACTCCATGCGGAGCGGCAGCCCGGTGTGCACTCACGCCATCGGTAGATGTGTGCAATATGATCTATTTGGGTCCAAAGATGAGTGGCGGTGGAAGGATGCCAAGTAGCACAACGGCGATGGTTGTGCCAAAAGTTAGTGCTGGCTAGAGGTAGGTTGTTATCTGCACAAAGCCGCAGAAGACGATCCCCATTATCCGACTTGGGTCCAACTGGTCCTCATTAGCCACCCAAAAGACTCTCGTCTGAGTCTAGACACATGACCTGCGCATTTAAGTCCGCAGCTAGCTCTACGATACCTATCGAGCAGGTAGGTCGAGTAGGTCGCTCAACTTAGGTTGCATCCGTTAGAGCATAGGTAGAGATGACAGAGATATCGTTTCTCTTGCTGATTACTTCTTACTTGAGTTGAACCATCTAGCCTAACAGGATACAGACGACTGTTGACTGGGATCCAGTCGAGTAGTGCAGCTTCTACTCGAGTGGCTTTTATTATAATACGACTGTAAAACGATTTAACTGAAGAAATCAAGCGTCATAAGAAGCCATCGCAGGATTGACCACTAACAGAAGTTGCAATAAGCAGTCTAACTGTTAAGAGATTTATATTTATAACTCATCTTTGCAGACAACTATGAAGAGGAATAAGGTTCAAGATTCCCGAAGTTGCGGAGTTATTGTCATGACTCAGCAAGTTTTTCCGAATGCTCTTCCTGTGTTTAAGAAAAAGCAGTGCTACCCAATTTCTATCACTACTCTTAGAAGCACGCTTTCAGAACCCGTAATCCGGAGGTCCTGACCGATATCTACCGACTAGACGTAGTGATCAGGACTGCATATTACAATGACCCGAGAAACTTTGGTGTGACGCTTGTTCCCTCCAGGTTCTATCATGCAAGGCCGTTTAGATAATAAAGCGAAAGCGACAACCGTCATACTGTGAATTCCTTGGCCATTGTGGGGCCTGTAGGCGAAGTTGTAGTGCTGGCGGAATGGGATGTGACTGCAGCAAGGCGTTTCGTACGGCCATCCTGATTCTGTCATCCCTGTAGGAGAACGGGGTTAGGAAACGTCGGCCAGAAAATAGTACTGTCCTCTACCCTTACGACACACCGATGCCGGTAATATGGGTTCATGGTCACATTCGAAAAGAAAGGCTCCAAGTTCTAAAACGGCCGTATGTAACTGGCCTCAAGCAGATAGCAAAACTGCGGATTCTCGTATTGTAAACGTATGATGTGTCTATGAACTACATATATAAGTGCAGTTATTCACTAAACTTAATTTGACCAATATAGTGAATTTGCAAAATTAACCACTTGGGGCCATGAAGACTCGATGGCCAGTCCTCGTGGTTTGGTAGGCGTAGGCACAAGGTCCTACGGCAAAAAGTGGAGTGACTGACTGGATCTCACTTGACAGTCAACTGTGCGTAGTCCGACTGAATGGCCCAATGACAATTAAGGTGAACAGTGTAACCCGACCTCGTCTCTGTAGTCCCTGCTTACACACCCACTGACCGCAGTTCGGACAAGTCCTACCGAATACTATCTAGCCTTCTGCTGAAAGTCGAACGTTCAGACGTCGTAATCGTAGCACGGGATTTCAGTGCATAGGAGGGTAGACTAAGTTACACAAAAACGCACTTAAGTAGCACTTTCGGAATCCCAGTCAAGCAAACAGAGAATGGCGATCACCTGTGCTCAAAATACCACCCCTTTTTCTAGTCAGCGGAGAAAGACCGACCCTCCTTCTACAGCACGTGTTTGGGCAGCAACCAAGAGTTCGTGGGAGATGGGTGGAAAACAGTCAAAGGCAGCCAGACTAAAATGTGATATGTCTCTAAATCCCTGGACTGTCGGTCTTAGGTGTGTAGGGAACCGTAGACTACCCAGTTCGGGTTCGCATAACGACAGAAAGCAGTGGTTGGGAACTTTAGCTAATGACTCAGGTGTACCTACATATCACTTTCATCTTGATCATCACACTGAATGACAGTATTTTCCGACTCCTTTTTGCTCTTTCTATGACTTTCTCTTTTGTCTTTCAATTCGGTGCATTTTCCCTTTCTATGTTGATATATGACATGTTACAGCTTATATTGTTATGCAGTTGATGTTTTCTGTCAGCCCATTTTCTTGGAACAATATCACTTCCTTATTTAACATGGTAATTTTATGTTCTATAGTTTTGATCCAGGTAATAAAATGTGACACTTGAATTGACTTTGAGGATGTGTAGACGCTATAATTTCTGCATAGAAAATCTGCAGTCAGATATCGAAAACGAGGATGCGGATAAGTGAAATCAGAATATAGGACTTAGTTTTTCCCTAATTATTATGAAATATCCCAAAAGAATCAACAGTAGGATGTGAAGAATCCCACATTCTCCAGGTTAGTGAAAACAAGTTATCATTACTAGTTCCGTACTTCTGGACTACGAACGTGACTATAATCATCAAAATTGGTTGCAGAAAGTCACTAATTGTAGTTTCCGGTTACATGCCAGACTTATTGTATAGGGACGGAAGTGAAGACGGTTATTTCCCACTCAATCCCGAGTTGGCCCATTTCGCTACTTATTTTGCTCTCCAGAAACTCTAATTATTCGTCAACGGATGACGTTGAACAACAAGTACCTCTTGCGGTGTATTGTTTTCTATAACTTGCGCGGTGTATATGGGAGCCAGTGTTAGCTGAAATCAGCCATGCTTAGCATACTTTAAAACGACTTGCTTAAAATGGGAAGGACTTAGTTCTACAGTCCGACAGCAGCAATAACTTATCGGTCCTATTTCACTCTCTCCATACATTTTCGTGATAATCGACTGTTAATTCCCACGTCATCCATCTCGCTATATGGTAATGTTTGTCTTAAAAAAACACTGAAAGATATATCGCCAGTCAGAAGTGCTTCATTGGGCTCACAATGATCTTAAGGGACAGTGTATGTATGCGTAGTCCTTATTTAGAACATGGTTGCAAGCATTTCTTTACACAAACGTTTAAGCTGTTACTTCCATTGTTGGTTCCAACTTTAATTAGCTTAAGAAAACTTCACATTCTTTAGAAATACATTTAACAGCCTTCCTTTCAACGTGACACACCAAGACCACGTACAGAAACAAAATTCTTAAAGTTGAATTCTCAATCCTATGCATGACTGAGAACGCCTGGGAAACATCACTCATGGTGGTATCAAGGTTATTCGAACTTTCACAATAATGCCGAACTGAGGAAACGAAATACCCCACACAATCTAACACACATCCTCCATTTTTACATTACTGGACGACCCTCGTGAGAAAAAACGAGACACGTTGCAGTATATGATATACTACTACATTCATAACGTATTTAAAAAAACAAGTCAAAATAACAGCTTTACTATAGAATCTACTGCGGTTTTCAAAGAAACAAAACACATTACACTCAACTATAGATTTCACAGCAAGAATTCGAAAACAAATAGGAATGAAAGGTAAGCAAAACTAATTACTTTTTTGATGCTTCAGAAATAAGTTACTAAGGGACATGTAACGGAAATAAAAATGAGTTAGACTGTTTATTCGAATAGACAACTTTCACTCAGCATACTGACACCCTTTGTTGCAAATATGATAGTCAATAATCTTACCATTTAATCCCCTTTATTACTTCATTCAGAGTGGAGGCACTATGTTTGAGCTTAGCCAACTCATTAGCACTGAGTTCCTGTAGAATAACATGGCTTATTCCCACTGAAGTCACCAAACACGGCAAGCTCAGGTAGATGTCTTCTGCTATCCCATGAACACCTTTGACCGGAACAGAAAGCGGATAGACCATATGAAGATTATTCAAAATTGCGTTGCAGAGTGACTGACAGGTGAGTCCTATAGCCCATGACGTGTAACCTTTCAGACGGATAATATCATAAGCACTTTGGACAACTTGCTTGTGTATCTCTCCAAAATTTTCAGGATCACCTTCTGTACCGACGGCTGGATTCAAAGAGGCTAAGCGAACCCACCAACATTAACATTACTCCAGACAGGTACACTGGAATCACCATGTTCTCCAACTACATATCCATGAACAGAATTTGCAGAAACCCCAAGTTTTCTCCCCAAAAGAAATCTAAACCGAGCTGAATCAAGCATGGTCCCAGTTCCTATCACCCTGTGAGCTGGAAATCCACTCAACTTATGAGCAACATATGTTAAGACATCAACAGGATTCGAAACAATAATAAGTATACAGTCTGGACTATACTTGACAACTTGTGGGATGATAAACTTGTATATTTCTACGTTGCGTTGAACCAAATTTAACCTTGATTCTCCTTCATTTTGTCTTGCACCAGCAGTGATTACAACAATATCTGAATTCTCAGAGTATTTGTAATCAGTGCCACCACTGACTTTGCACCTTCTTAGAAATTGTTGACCATGTTGAAGATCTAAAACCTCGCCTTTTACTTTATCTGCGACCACATCGATGAGTGCAATTTCTCCTGCTACGTTCATCAAAGAAAAAGCTGCTGCCATCCCAACTGCTCCAACACCAACAACAGTAACCTTAGTTCGCGAACGCGATTCAGTTCCAGGTGGGGCTACTGCTTGCATAATAGATTTAACAGTAGAAGACATCGTTGAGATACACACTGAATCCAACAACAATTACAGTACTACGTGACTTAATTTACACCGAGTTCATTAAATTCACCAATTAAAACAAGTCAAAGAGTTCAGATGGTTCAAATGGTCGTTAACTGAATAGATGGCTGCGGCGTCTTCAATCTGTGGATCACTACCGCTTGTGGTTGTTAATTTATGTACAAGTGAAGAAAGAGGAAAAAGTGGTGGTTAAAATGTGAAAATTCAATTAGTTCTGGACAGATCCTAGACACACCTCAAGTGGGTATCCAGTCAGCTTTTAAAGGATTCAGACGAAGTACCTTGGATCACGTCTTCAACAAGAGCGTTTCAAAGTTGATGAATAGAGGTTGTGCCTGACATTCAACCTGGTATGTTCCAGGCTTAGTTTCTGTGTGTCCACTAGGATAAGTGCTACAGCTAAGTTTTAATAAGTGACAGAGTGGGTGGTCAGGCGTGCTCAGAATGTTGTGATTAATTAAAGAGTCTCTTCTTTGTCTTCTGTATTCTAAAGGATACAGATCCCCCACCAACCACTCCTTCTTCGTATGTTTCGACCTAAGTCCTCGGAAAGATTTTGTCGAAGGCCTCTGAATGCGTTCTAAGCTTAGTTTGTCCTTCTGGAAAGAAAAAGGGTATACGGTGGTCCTGAACTCCAGGTGAGGCCATATGAAGCTGTTGAAAAGGTGGTGGATCATCCATAGTCAAACTGTTCGAAAATTCGTCTAGCAGTTACTAACTCCGAGTTTTCACGAAATGTGTTTCTGTCACAGTTGGCATAGGACTTTAAGCCCTGAGGTCAGTGACGCTTCAAGCTCTATACCGTTGAGGCTGTACACGTGAGATACATCTTGTTTTGCGTGTATCACCTGGCATTTCTCGAGATTAAATGCCAGCCAGTTGTTGACTGCCTAGTTGTGAAGTTGAGTTGGGTCTTCCTACAGAGAAACACTGTCTTCTTCACTTTTGGCTTCTCTCCACGGTTCCACGTCATCAGCAAAAAGAAGGACTTCGGAAGAAACCTGTTGAGGCAAGTCGCTTATGCATATTGGAAGAAGGAGAGGCCCTATTACTGAACAATGGGAACACCACTAAGACATTCTGTTTTTTCAGACAGAGAAACTCACTCGAACTTTAGACGAACGGCCTCGTAGATATGAAGACAACCAGTCAATTGGCGGAGGCCGAATCCCGATTAATTTCAATTTAATAATAAGGCAGTCATGGTTCATACGATCGAACGCCTCAACAAAGTCAAGGCACATAAAATCAATTCTTCCTGGACGGTCAACAATGCTGGTCCACCTATCTACTCCAGTGAGCAGGTTTGTAATGCGGGGGTACCCCTTTTGAAATCCATGTTGTTGGGGCGCAGAAAAATTTATCTTTGTGAGGTTATCCCTCAGTCCATCGTATATTGACGATACCATTAATTTAGTAGGAGTACCACCGATTTGCATTTCTTCGATTACTTCATTGACCCCTTTGAAGATTGGCGTTGTTGCCCAGCTTCCAAGAATCGGGTGCTATCCCCTGACTCAGAAAACTCTTAGATAACTTACCTTAAGGTTTGGACAGAATTAAAGCTCCGTCCCGCAATGCCACCGGGTGGATTTTATCCCGTCACGGGGAAGTGCCTTTGGCGAGCCGTGCCTCAACAATTAGGTCGACAACTGAGAGTCCCACTTCGTTAGTGGGATATCCGTTAGCACCTGAGTAGGTGGACGATGACGAAAAGATTTGCAGGTACTGGTCGGCCAGGAGCTCAGCTGCTTCAGGGTCACTATTAATCAATCCGTTCGCACCTGGTGGCTGACAGACTCCCGCTTTTGCCTGCCGGAATGAAGCAGCTTAACAGTAGAGACTTCTCTGGTTAGAAACAAACATGTTTGTGAGCCTGACTTGATACCACAGCCAATCGGCCCTCGATGCCTCCGTACATTTGTTTCTCGCCTATTTGAATTGTCTGTTAGTATATTCGGCACCAATCCCTTTGTGTTCAGCCCAGTTGTGTCTCTTTGACCTAGGTGGTCTGAGAGTGTGGTTCCTTACCACCTTAGTAAACTTGAAGCACCTCTGTCCCGAAAGTGGAGCAGACTGACTGATGGTATGCATGATCTTGTCAAGTATAAATCTCCAATGGGTGTTCACATCTTGCCATATATGGTTAACTTCGCAATCTATGTGTTCCAGCGTGGTTAGAAGATCTTGAGTGTTAAATCGACGACGTTCGTTGAAAGGTCTGGTTGGTTAGGTTCCGCAGAAAAACTGGGAGACGATAACAACATGGTTGCTTCTGCCCAAGGGAGGAAGGATTGCGAAGTTGTCTATCTGGGGTTTTTCACTTGTGAAGACGCAGTCTAAGCGAGACGGGGTTTTAGTCTCCCCTACTCCGTCGCCGTTCTCACATTTTCCTTGAGCCCTTGCTCCCCAACCAGATGGAAGAATCTGGATTCAATAAAATCGTCACTGCCGCTAAACGTATGATCTAGAAAGTTAACCTTCGGTAGATTAGGGTCGCCTAAATTGGTGTGTGTTTGCCGCAGTTTAAGAGAGTAACTGATTACCTGTAGCATCTGATAGTCATACTGCAAATTAAGCAGACGGCTTCCCATAAATGACTTCCACCAACAACCACATAGTCTTGGGCAGCTTTACGAGGCACCAGCTGGACTCCTCGAGGCACCCCAGTTCTTGAGTATGGATTTGGTCGGCTGAGAGAGAGGAGCTGATGTAAAGTGCTACCCCACTCCTTATCAGCTTTTCTGCCATTGCGAAACGGCGTGGTATTAGCAATTGCCAGCTCCTGATTCGGCATGTCAGGAGAAACCCATGTTTCAGTCACACCGATATGGTGAGTAAAAGGGTACTCACTTACTTCCCGCTGCCCATCTTCTTTTGTCGGTGAACGTTGTGCATTTTTGTAGATGAACTTATGCTATCCACTTGGAATGCAATGCCTGCGCCTCCCTGTTTTCCAGTTGGCTAGCTGAATCCCCGGGCGCAGGGGCTGGGAATGTGCATAAGAGCTGCCCGCCGGCGCAGTGTTCCCCGCCCCCTCCCTTTTTTCGAATCCGGGCAGTCTTCCAGGGATGCAACTAGTTCTAGTTTTTTCTGCTTTCGCCGCAGCCTTTCGTTCTGCGGCCTGTGAGGCTGCATGCGGAATGCAGTTGGCAGGCGGTTTCTCTTCTCCTGGAAAGCCTCCAGTGTGGATGCTGCCATTTGAGAGGCCAGAAAGACCATTTTGGTCAGCCCTGGCCTGGGTCATCGTCTTTTCCGGGCATCCGCGTGACGCTTTGGGTGATTACTTCCTCGAAGTTCACAGTATCCTTGAGGAACTTCCACTCGCGAGAATCTTACTGAATATCCTCGGTGCTCGGGTTTTCTGGTGTGGCTTGTACTATTAGGTTTCCTCCTCTAAGTTAAGAATAATAATAGTGGTATATTTACTCCTGAATATACAGACAGACACCATTTTTGCAGGCATGAATAAGTTTTTATATAAATTACATGTTTCTTCATGGAAGGTAATCTTAGTTTCCACCTTTTATCACTAGGAGGTATAACTGCTGAATGTTCATATAGTGGAACAACCCGGCAGAATAAGTATGCAAAAATTTATTAGCTGGACAAGTAGAAGTAATGTCTTCACGATGACAAAAAACAGGGTTTGTATCCTGACACTACATATATTACCTGGAGAAAAATAAAGCTTGCAGCTAACACTCCCACCAAAACAGTTTATACTCCTTGCTTGAGACAATGATGAAAGCTTTCCGAGGGAATGTGTGCACAAATTGTTTGCTTCTTGTATTTTATTGATGATCCCAGAACTGTATAATTCGTGCATGTTAATAACACTTTGCATCAGAGATTCACAATCTTGATGAATGTTACTTCTGAGAACCTAATATCCTCACTTTTCAGACTCCGGCTTCCAGAAGCAATAGACTTGTTTGAATGCATCGAGTGAACTTCCAGGACGTCTCGTCCGCCGTTTCCACTGGTCGTGAAAGCCTTGCGGTTGGTAAGTGTCGCCGAGAGATTCTTCAGACCCTTTCTCCCAAAGTGCGGGATATCTGGCAGTGTCCTTACCTTCTGTTCAGCTTTTAGCAGGTGAGATGCTAAGAGCACATCTTCGACATCATCTCGGCTGAAGAATCTGAGCCTTGAAACACGGGGCTTCCCCTTAGTTATTGAATCGGGATTGAGCCTAATTGCAGCTAATGGTTTTATTTTGTAAACTTTGGGATCAAAATTTGACCTGATAGCGTTGGATAGGTAGAGTATTGAATGGTTGGATTGTAAACAAAGTATATTTCACGAAATCTCAATGGATTCATGTGGTCCAGCTTGAATTTTCTGCATACGTTCTCCCAAAGAACTCGATCATTCTTGTCCTAAGGGCTGAGTGGGAGATCAGGGCTGTCTGTCAGGTTCATAATGACCAAGGGATCGTCCCGGACAGCGGCTTATCTTGTCAACTGCTGACGCTTGGGAGCTTTTTGAGCTTTCATCTTTTCCTCAGCTTTGCTCTCGTCCGTGAGCAGCACGTTTGCTTGTTTGATAAGCTCGCGAGCGACTCTCATAGTCCGCTGTCCATTCCACTTCCTTGTAGACCCAAGGTTTAGCCCTCCTAATTTTCAGATTACTACCCTGCCTGGATTTGTTCCCAATGTTTCTCAACTTCCCAGACCCAAAATGTTTGACTGAAGCTGAAATTCGATGGTTCTTATTTTCTATGATGGATATACATTCCCCGTCTTGAGTCTCCCTGCTTAATATGACCGTTTCGTTTTGGGCCTCATTTGTCGATGACAAAATCCCGGTGAAGGATTGTAAGACATTTGATGATGTTGCATCGCCAAGGTGAGTCGTATCCTCTGTCAAACCAGTCCCTTACTGTCATCGAGTGGCTCCAGCACTTTTTCCTCTGGTCGATTTTCTAACGCCATAGCCCTCGTGCTTAGGTACCGCTTTTGAGTTTTTCAGCTTCCCATTTTTATGGTCTACTGTCAGTCTGTTTTTTTTACTTCCGACAACGCGCCGATGTTCCCAAGAACATCACTCAGTGCAGATCGACACAAGCGGCAATGTTACTTGCTGCCAGGCTTGCTGAGTTTAGTGTACTCAGTTTGCCTTAAGTCTGTCCAAGCGTCATGAAACCGCCCATCGCATGTGTCGCACTGCATACCCACCCGAGAAGGTTGGCAACGGCCTTGACTCTCACATCTGTTTGGTCACCATTGTTGTAAAAGGTAT